TTTTGCATTATCTTTAGGCAGAGCAGAAGGGTAAAAGGGAGGAAGAGAGAGAGAGAGAGAAACATTGATGTGAGAGAGACACATCGAGTGGCTGCCACCCACACGACCCCAACCAGGGCTCGGGACAAACTGCAACCGAGGTAAGTGCCCTTAGTGGGAACAAACCTGAGTCTCTCTGGACCATGGGATGACGCTCTAACCACTGAATCAAAATGGCCAGGGCAGTACACATTCTTTAAACCTCCTTAAAGTTAAAAAATGAGAAAGGAAAGGGGAATTTGCTTCAGCAGAGCAACTGAGCAGCAGTTAATTTCTGTAAAATGTAAAAAAGGCATGCTCAAAGCTAAGACAACCTTACCTTCCAATGAGAAAATTAAAAAAAAAATCTTCCAAAAAATCTTTTCAGGTTTTAGAGCTTTTCTTTTCCTTAAAAAAAAAGAAAAGAAAAAAGTTTTTATAGATTTCAGAGAGAAGAAGGGAGAGGGAGAGGGAGAGGGAGAGGGAGAGGGAGAGGGAGAGAGATAGAAATACCAACTGACTGCCTCCTGCACCCACCTACTGGGGATCAGGCCCAAAACCCAGGCATGTGCCCTGACGGAATCGAACCAGTGACCTCCTGGTGCATGGGTCGACACTCAACCAACTGAGCCACACTGGTGGGTCAAAAGAAAATCTGTTTAACTTAAATGAAACAAACAAACAAACTACTTTTATGACTGTAGATAAAATACCTAAATGTCTGCTTATAATCTTTAACTTATTAATTTACATATATGTATTTAAAAGTATATAACATAAGGCAACATGTATATTAATTCATGAAATAATTTTACTCCAACTAATCACCTACATCTTCAACATCAGTCTCTGTGGTCACTTGAGCCACTCTGAATCATCAAATTCCATTTTCCAGAGCACATACATCACCTTTGCATCTACCAAATCAGCTATAACAGAGCATTTCTTAAATCCACATATGATGCTCTCAATGGGAATCTCAACCCAAGCCATCAATACCCATTCAGGTGGGCACGACCTTTTTCATTCATCACTAACTGAATTGATTGATTGTATAAATACCCCAAACTGGCATTGACTGAGGTTGTTTTAGCCCAATATGTATTTCTCAAACAGCATCTTGTCGTTGGAAATAGAGTAACTGAGAAAGTGCCCTGTAACAGGAGAGACTTAAACCATGTGGCGATGCCTCTTTCCAGAGAGATAATTGTCTTATAACCAGGCATGTACAACATATACATGAAGATAATTTTTAAGAGGGAAGATTGCCTGAAATGATCTAAGGGTCTCTCTCTCTCTCTTTTTTGTTTTTGGTTAATCCTCACCAGAGGATATTTTTCCATTGACTTTTAGAGAGTGTGGGAAGGTGGCAGGGAAAGAGAAATACCGACTAGAGAGAGACACATGCACTGTTGCCTCCTGCCCGACCTGGACCGGAGCTGGGGATGAAACATGCAACCCAGGTACATGCCCTTGACCGGAATGGAACCCAAGACCTTTGGTCTGAGAGCTGACGCTCTAACTAACCACTGAGCAAAACTGGCAACGGTGATCTAAGGGATTCTTCATGCCTTCTACAAGGGCTATCTAAGCTTTCTTTCTTTTTTCAATCCTCACCTGAGGATATTTTTTCTATTTATCTTCAGCTAGAATGGGAGGGGGAGAAAGGGAGAGAGAGAGAAACATCAACATGATTGAGACACATTGACCGGTTGCCTCCTGCACTACCTGACCAGGGCAACTGAGGTACGTGCCCTTTGCCAGAATCGAACCCACAACTCACTGGTCCGCAGGCTGATGCTCTACCGCTGAGCCACACTGGCCAAGGCTAAGCTTTCGTATTTGGATTCACATGTCTGTCTCCGCCAGGCAGGCAGCCATTTCCCTCAGGAGCCACAGGCAGACACGAAGCTGCCAGGGCAAGCAGAGGGCCCTTCTCTACTTTCAGTCCAGACCCTTCAGCTGCAGGCACCGTTTTCCCAGAACGCTAACCTGATGTCATCTCTGCTCATCTTAAAAACTTGCTACTGCTGCCCTGGCCAGTTTGGCTCAGCAGTTAGAGCGTCGGCCCTTGGACCAGAGTCTTGAGTTTGATTCTAGTCAAGGGCATGTACCTCGGTTGTGGTTCGGTCCCAGACCTGGTCGTGGTCATGCAGGAGGCAACCAATCAACATGTCTCTCTCACATAGATGATTCTCTCTCTACCTCCCTCCCTTTCACTCTGTTTGAAAATAAATGGAAAAATATCATTGGCTGAGGATTAACCTGTTAACCGAGCGGGACGTATAAATACGTCAAACGTTGCATACAATGAAAAGAGAATTCCCCGGTTAACAGGTTAAGAAAACAAAACAAAAATTTTTCTACTGCTTCCACCAGTGTGGAGGATTAAAAAAACACCTCCATCTCCATTGTGTCATTTCAAGGTTCCTCTAGTCCACCTGTGTTAACCCAGCTGGTGGGTACCACCCACCTTCTCACTCCAGAGGCTCTGCTCAGGCTCCCCCATTCACCAAAGGCATCCACAACTGGCCTACCCATGCTTCACAGCTCAGTTCAGCTGAGCCATCTCTTCCTTCCAAAAGCTTCCTTGAATATGGCCCCCTCCACCCACTGAATCCAGGGCAAACCTCTATCATAGTCCTCACCACACTATCATTCTGTTTCCTACATTACTACTACTAATACCTAACGCTTACTGAGGGTACACTACTGGTAAGGAACGGTTCTAAGTGCCTCTTGGTTTTTTTTTTTTTCCATCCTCACCCGAGAACATTTTTTCATTTTGTTCGGATAGAGCGGGGACACACACACACACACATTGATGTGAAAGGGACATACTGAGTAGCTGCCTTCTGCATTGAACCTGCAATTCACTGGTCTGCGGGTTGATGCTCTAACCGCTAAGCCAAACGGGCCAGGGCCTAAGTGCCTCTTCTTTATGCTTCACGATTCTATGACCTAGGTACCATTCTTCAGATGGCAAAAGTGAGGCCCAAAGAAATCAGACAATGTGCCCAAGGTTCCATAGTACCTAAATAGAAACTCATGCCACCAGGTTGTAGGATCTGAGCTCTCACCCTTGAGTGTCTGCTGCTCAAAGGTCCTACATTAGACCAGGGGCTTTTGTGGTATACAACAGTGAAGGGTTATCAGATGCTTGTGAGCAGAGTGATCAGAACTGTCTCTACCTGAGAAGCTGTCTGTCACATGAGAGGCTGGAAATGACTTCTAGTACCATCCACTGAGTAATGCTGATTTAACAGAGGATACCCTTCCAGCTAGAGCTATCATCAAACACAAAACCCCTACCTTTTCTCTAGACATGTCCTTCATAGGTTTGCAAAAATACCCCCAAACACCCCAAAATACAAAAAGTTTCTGAGTAGTTAAGTGAGACCTCTACCTAGTTTCAGGGTGAAAGAGGTACACACATCTCACATTCAGAGGCAGGAGCAATAAAATCGTTCCAACAGACGCCAATCTGACTTACTGTTGATCACAAAGAAAACCGCTTAAGGCAAGTCCATGTTTTGGTTTTCTGGTTTAACAATGATTTTCAAGGCGGAAAGAATTTGTAATTCATAAAGAAAATCAAAGTTAGTGTGCTTCACATTTTACACAAAAAATGTAGGCCTACAAGGGATGTTGAAGGCATTTTGACACAAAGGAAATTATAATAACTAAGTTAATATTTACAGAGTGCTTCCTATCTGTCAGGCATTTTCACATACATTATTCCTTTCTTTGGTAGCCTTTACAAGCTCCACCTAAATGATCAGTCATCACTCCATTTTACAGAAGAGGAAACTAAGGCTCACAGAGGTTACACAGAGTTACATGATTTCCACCTCCAGTCTCTGTAGTTACCAAGTCCCCATCCACTACGCGAAGTTTCTCCGAGTATAAAGGTGTGGCAAACTCCCCTTTCTACTCTCATTTTCAAGCAGGGCCATGGCCAAGGCTAGGAAACGCGCGGCGTCCTTCCCCCACCCCGCACCTCAGGTGTACGACACACTTGTATCTCCTAACAGAAGGCTAACTCCGCCCTTACTGTTCCTCCCAGCACAGCACCCAAATGCTCCTTAGCGGGAATTACCATTCCAAGATTTCAATCTGCAAGGTCAGAGTTTGGCTAATTCAAGACGAGCGCCGCATGGGATTGGCAGACTTACCTTTTGATCCTAGAATCATACGTGCTGCGAGATCTACATTATAAGGACACTTTCACAACTGATGGGAGAACTGCATAAAGCTTTCCTGTGCTCCACTTCCGCTAAGTCTAAAATGACACCACTATTCTCACCATCAACTCACTTCGGATCAACGCCTTACCTAATACATGTTCAAAAGCCTCGGGGACCGCGAGTGCCGCCGAAGCGCCCAACTCCTCCAAGGCTGTCATGAGTTAAACCCCCTCAAAGGCATCCTTGCAGGGTGGTATTTGCCAGCAACAACTACTCTTAACTCGAGAGCTCCCCTGTCACCAGCAAAGGTCGATCTCACATCCATCCGCCCACCATCACCATGTGCGAAGTTTAATCTTGAGTTCGGCCAAAAGACATTTCCTTTTTCCTTAAACGAAAAAGAGATCTGGACCGGTGCCCCTGCCTGGCTGCCCAGCGCTCAGGACCCCTTCCCGGCGGGTGCCCCGGAGCCGCCCCGGCAGGACCCACCTCGAGCAGGAACGCAGAGCCCCTCCAGGTGTAGCCGCCGACTGCAGGCCACGCCGCCCGCGGCCGCCTGGGACTCGCAGGCCGAGGGCGGAGGCGCGGCCGCCGCGCCCGCGCACAGCCGGCCCCGCCCGCCCCGCCCGCCCCGCCCCCACCGCCCCGCCGGCGGGAGCTGCGGCGCGCGCCCCGCCTAGGCCTCGCCGCGCGCCGCCGCCGCCCGCGCTCCCTCCCTCCCGGCCCCCGCCGCCCGCGCGCTCTCGGCTCGCGACCCCCTCCCCGACTCTCCCCGCCCGCGCAGCCCGCACTCACTGAACATCCCAGGCGGCTCCGGCTCCTCCCGCCGCCGCCGCCTCCGGGATAGGGTTGCTTCCGCCTCCGTCGTCTCTGCTGCAGGGTCTCGTCCCGACGGCCGGCTCAGCCGGGCCCCCGCGCCCCGCGCCCCGCCGCCCCCGCCGCGGCTCTGGGCGGCCGCTCCATGACTGACTGACACGGAGCGGGCCGCGGGCTGGGCCGCTCGGGCCTCCAACGCGCAACCGTCTCCACCAATGAGCAAGGCGCCTCGGCGCTCTGCTGGCGATGCCTGGCGTGCGCGCCGCCCCGCCCCGCCGCGCCGCCGCCGTCGGGCGGAAGGAGCCCGGGGGCCGGTCCCACGTGGTGGGCAGCCCGGGAGCCCCGACTAGCCGCCGCCGCGCTCCGCCCCCGCCCGCGGGCCCTATCCCGGCCGGGCCTCCGAGTGAGCTCCCTAACCTGGGGACTGCCTTCCGTCCTCGCCCGCTGCGCGGGGCCTTACGTGAGCCCCTCACCTGGGGACCGCATTCCGGTTGGCCCCTACCGGGATCGGCCTGGAGGTGAGCACCTAAGCTGGGGACGGCCCTCCATCCCCGCCCGCGGCCCCTACCCAGAGTGAACCGGGAGGCTGAGCTGGTTACCCGGGGCTACCCTCCGCCCCCGGCCCGGGCCCTCCCTGGGTTACGCGCTGGGCGAGAGCCCTCGAGGCTCGCTCCTTCGAGGTTCAGAGAGTAGCCGCGTTAGCAGCTTCTGCGTGAGGAATAACGGGGCTTTGCCGTCCGCTTTGGGCTGTTCCCACCCCTTGCTCAGACCGCTGGGGACCACCCAGAGCGGCCGTGGGTAGATTCCGGGAGGGTACCTTGGCGTCTTTGTAGCCAGTTCTGCAAACACTTTTTAAATACGTTGTAGCAGTGGCGATGGCTACAAACATATTGAACTTACAAGTTAAGTAACTAGTTGGTAGGTATTGGATATTTAGACAAAACAGGAAGATGACAGCGCTTGACTGTTCCCTGTTCTCTGTAGTAGAGTGAAGGATACCTTGCTCAGTGTGAGTGTGCTCCCGGTGTTTGCTCATTCCCTATATAGTTACCTGTTGAGAGCAAGTTCTGAAGGTAGGTCTTTGTTAAGGGCCCATAGATTTAAAAAGTGCAAATGATCCAGCTAGAAATTATAATTATTTTAATTTTAATCCTTGCCTGAGGATATTCCTCCTCCCCCTCCGATTTTGAGAGAGAGTGGAAGGGAGGGGAGGAGGCGAGGGGGTGGGAGGTGGAGAACGAGAAAGAAACATAGATGTGAAAGAGACACATGGATTGGTTACTTCCCACACATGCCCTGAAAGGGACCAGGGACTGGACCCGCAACCCAGACGTGCTCTTGACTGGGAATTGAACCCGCGACCCTTTGGTGCATAGGGCCCACGCTGTAACCATTGAACACACTGGCCAGGGCCAACTGAAAATTCTTTAGGTTTGACAGTTTTATATTAGAATCATAGGACTGCGATTTTTTTTGGTGTTTCTGTTGTCCTAGTTTGTTTTTACTTATGATAATTTTATTTTGGTATCATGAAAAAGTTTCTCTTGAAGAATTGACATATACTTTCATGTAATGAAAATGGCTTAACCAGAAATGTTTCCTGTTTTTACTACGACTTTTAGGAAACTCAAAACTACATTTACATTAGTTACATAGAATTATAGGAAGCTGGTGTATTTGTTTTCCTTTTATGTTCATGATTTTATAGTATTCTATATTCACAGTCTTAGTTGTGTAGCTATATTTTGTAGAGTCTTTTTGAAAGCAGTATGTCTTTGTAAATTTATACATTAACAAATAAAGTTATAGTGGGAAGTTACTGTTGCAGCTGAAATAAAGTACTTTCACTAGGACTGGGTTTATGCTATTTTTCCTTTCCACTTGAGGAATATTACTTTCTGTAAATACTGCTCGTTTCGCTACTTTAACTACTTAATGGAGCTGTTTCTAATACATAATACATAGTATATTTTAGGATATTTGTATAGAAACCTAATTTTTCAACCTAGAACCACAAATAATTTGAACACTTTGGGTTTTGCTCAGTTTAATTCATGCACGTTCACTTTTGAGGATGTGATGTTTGATTATAGCAGGAATACCCATACCTATGTGTGCAATCTATCTTCTGCCTATGTTTATCTGAATTTTCCCCAGAAAATTCCTGTGTCCTAGCAATTTATGTACAGATTTATGCCCAACAATTTTGTTGATGTGTTTTAATTCATTAAAGGAATACATATATACATATATATTATGTAGACTATATGATATGGAATGATCATTTTCTGGTGGCTGTTGAGTTTGACTTGAATATATTTCTTCCATTGTGTTATATTGTAGATAAAGTACAGCAATGGCTGCAGTTTATTCTGGCATTTCCCTTAAGCTTAAAAGCAAGACAACTTCCTGGGAAGATAAACTGAAGCTGGCTCACTTTGCTTGGATTTCCCACCAGTGTGTTCTTCCAAATAAAGAACAAGTAAGTTTAACACGAAACTTACATTTTTATAACCTAATATAATTATAATTTATGTAGATTGCATGTTGACATTTAGTAACAATTTTAAAAGATTAGAGAAAAAGTTGGGGAAGGAAACATGATTAGAAGGTAATTTCTGAAAAAAAAGTAATAATTAGGTCGGGTGTTCCATTAACAAGCTTTTTCTCTTGCAGAACTTCAGTTAGCATCTCTTTTATGTTTGGAAACCTGTTATATTCCCAATTAAGTGTATGCATCAGTGAACAAATTGGGAATTAGGTTACAGAAGTTAGGTTATGAGTGTGTTGGTCGCTCCATTTATTTATAAATCCAAAGTGACATTTCATATGCAACTGCTTGTTGGAGCTTTGTTAAACATCTTTGGAATTTGTTGAGTTGAAGGTTAGGAAGTAGGAAAGCTTTAGTATTTGTATTAAGTCATTCTAGGAACGGATTAGGGACCAAGAAAGCCATTGCTCTTTGCTAACATTTCTCAATCTTATTTGGCTAAGTGTATTTGGATGAGCTCATGAAATTGGGTTCAAGAACATATATATATATATATATATATATATATATATATATATACACACACACACACACACACACACACACACTGGTATTAACGAAGACAGCACAAAATGTGTCAAAGACAGATTACATCTGTTAAAATGATGAGGTGTAGTATGTAGAACACTAGCATATCTAGTAGTTTCTAAAACTGGCTGTACCTGACATTCTTGGCAGCTTGACAGTCACCTGGCAAGTGCTATACAGGGTGAGACAAAGGGGAAGTTATGACAGGCATTTAAAATTTTTTCTCAATTATAGTTGACATTAAGTATTATTTAATACTAGTTTCAGGTGTACATCATAGTGGTTAGACAATCATATAATTTACAAAGTGACCCCCCTTTGATATTTCAAGTATCTACCTGGCACCATACATAATTATTACAATATTATTGACTTTATTTTCTATGCTGTAGTTTGCATCCCCATGACTATTCTGTAACTACCAATTTGTACTTTTTTAAAAAAAAGTATTTTTTCTTTATTGATTTTAGAGAAAGGAAGGGAGAGAGAGAGAAATAGAAACGTTGATGAGCGAGAATATCTATTGGCTGCCTCCTGCATGCCCCCCACTGGGGATTGGGCCCACAACTTGGGCATATGCCCTGATTGGGAATCGAACTGCAACCTCTTGGTGCACAGGTCGACTCAACCAGTGAGCCACACCGGCGGGGCTCAATTCGTACTTCTTAATACCTTCACCTTTTCTACCTAGTTTCTTAGAACCCTAAACCCCTTCCCCTCTGGCAACCATCAGTGTGTTCTCTATGAGTCGGTTTTTTCGTTTATTTTGTTCGTTATATTCTGCATATAAGTGAATCCATATGGTATATGCCTTTCTCTGTCTGACTTATTTCACTTAGTATAATACCATCTAGGTCCATCCATGCTGTCACAAATAGTAAGATTTCATTCTTTTTTTCTGATCATGGCAGGCGTTTTGATCAAGCTCTCTGCTCCCCTTATTTTGAGAGATTTTTTCCTTTTAGCATCTGTCACTGTTCAAACTGTTATCGATAGTTCTGGTATTGTGAACTGAGGCCTAATCACCTTTTCTCAAGTTTATGAATAAGGAAACATGTCACAATGATGGCAATTACATATGTCCAGCTTTTCATAAAGCACTTGTGCCGTATTTTACAGAAGACTGTCTCTGTTCTAGATGAGGTACGTAGATGTAGAGGTTAAGCTACATGGGAAGCCAGAACACAAACCCCTGTGTTCTAACTCTGCCTTTTCGCTTCATTTTTGTAGCTCTTCTGAGCAATTGTTGTTGTGCTTCTAACTTTAGACATTTAGCTAACTATATAGAGAAGCTAGAAGAAACTGTTAGAGTTTTACTTGAAACTTTTTATTGGCCTCAAAAGAAGACAAAATTATTTTTATTCTTTCATCATAAACATTTGAAGGTATGAAGACATTTGGTAATGTACTATTACCAAAGGCGTTATAAAGGAGAATGTGCTCCCTGACAATTGGATTTGGTTGTACATGGAATGTCTCTGTAATATGTTCAGTGGTTTCATTTCTTGGTAAATAAATTCATTTATTTTCAGACTCTATTTCATCCAACTTTAGGTATTACTTGATTGGGCGAGACAGTCATTAGTTGCGTTTTATAAGAAAAAACTTGAATTGAAGGAAGACATTGTTGAAAGGCTTTGGATCTATATAGATAACATTCTGCATAGCAAAAAACTGCAGAACCTCCTCAAGAATGGAAAGACTATTAACCTCCAGATTTCCCTTGTCAAGGTAAGAGTTTGTTGTGTTCTCCTGTGTGTGTTATGTGCCTCTCTGTTGATTTCCTGGCAGTGCTGGAGGCTTATTTGTTTTAGGGTTAATTATCAAGATGCAGGAAATATCAGAGTAGGGGAGAAGGAAATACTATTAGAATTATAATGATGATTCGTATTTATTGAATGAGTCTTGTATACTTTATATTGTGCTAAGTACTTTGTTATTTAATACTCAAGAAAAGCTTAGAGCTATTTCATGAAGTGGTTGTTGATGACCTGTTTAATTGGAAAAGATTGCTAGCAAATGATGCGACTTTGTGATGCCTGCCCCCTCCCACCCCCCAAACCTTTCTGTTGACCTGAAGGGAGATCAAAGACCAGAATCTGGATAGGAATTTCCTCAAAATTCTTGACTGAAAGTAATTTTGAAGTCTCAGATGAGACTGAATATTTGGAAATACTCTGAGAATAGCTGATGACAATAAAAAGCACTAATAATGAGCACTTTGTGTGTGCCAGGCTCCAAGAAGTTAAGTAACTTGCTGACAGCCACACAGCTGGTAAGTGGCACAGACTGCCTGACTGCAAAGCGTGTGCTCTTCATGGTCACACCGCATGGCCCCATGTGTGCAGGAAGAAAGAGGAAACCAATAAAGGCTGCTAACAGAAGAATTAAGTAGTTGAGCTGCTTGATGCTGCACAGGCTGTAGTGGTTCTTAAAATTATGTTCTAACTTGTATGTCACTTTTTAGAATAACAGAATGAAGAGCACTGAAGTGGGTTATTCTGAGTGGTCCTTTGGGAGAATGGGAAGAAAATCTTACAACGTCTCCATATGTTTTTAAAAAGTCATATTTTAATATGTGTGCTTTATAATTACATAAAATATTAATTCTGAGTACAGGTATTCAGTGTATAAATAAATTATTCTTATTTTGGTATAAATATGGGAAAGGTGTTATAGATGAGTCGTGTGATCAGAAATATTTAGAGATCACTGTAGCAGTGCATTGGCTTTTAAGAATTTGACATTTTTGTTTCAGCTTTTCCAGAGCCAGCAGTTACTTGAAAGAAATTAATCACACCTGTCATTGGGCTACTGACAATTTAGCACCTAGGGTAAATTTGATTCCCAGATGCTGTAATGCTGGGAGTAAGTCACTTAGCCTATGAGTGAATTTTGGAATCTGCCCAGCCTTCATAATTTCTGGGGTTTGTGGATTTCAGAATTTTGAAAGCAGTATATTCTGGGTTTGCTGCATACTACATAATAACTGAAAACATTTTTTCCCCTCTTTTTTTTGGTTAAATGCGCCCCAACTGGGGCTCAAACCTTCGACCCAGGTTTATGCCCTTGACCGGGAATCGAACCCTCTGACCATTGAGCCAAACTGGCCAGGGCTTTCTTTTCTCTTTTGAGAGTGCCTTTTGCTTTGGCTTTAAAAATAGAAGCAGTATAATGGACTACAAAAATGTTATTTGGATTACAGGATCACAACCAAAGACCACTTTTCATGGACCTGTAGTATCTAAGCTGAATTGCAGGTTTAGGATCTTTGGAGTTTATGCTTATAAAATCCAGCTCTTTAAAAAGCGACAGCCAGATTTACTAAGACACTGCTCTGCTCCCTTTTACGAATTTATATTGGTAGGTGAAGGATGTGTGAGGGAAGTTCACGTAGATGTGATAATGTGGTGTTCTCATCAAGATGAAGGCAAGGAGTGAGTTGATTGATTCTGTTGTATTTTTTTGTGTATATGTGTAGGTTTAGGGTCAGTAATGCGTTTTCTTTCTTTCTTGATGCCCAGATCATAAATGAGAGAATAGCCGAGTTCTCTCTTTCTGGATCCCAAAGAAACATCTGTGCCGTGCTCAGCTGCTGCCAGGGCATCCTCTCGACGCCTGCCCTTGCTGTCATCTACACGGCCAGACAGGAGCTGATGGTGGCCTTGCTGAGCCAGCTGTGCCGGTCAGCCTGCAGGAAGCCAGAAGGAGCTGTGGTGGCCCTGTTATTCGAGGTCATTCATTTGGCCCTTGGCCATTACCTCTTGATCCAACAGCAGCAGGTCAACCCAAGGCGTGCCTTTGGAGAGGTGACTGGGCATCTGCTCCAGCCCTGCCTGGTCCTAAGGCACCTACTCTCGGGGGGCACGTGGACACAGGCCGGCCAGGGCCAGCTGCGACAGGCGCTGAGCCGAGACCTTAGGAGTCAGATTGAGGCCATGCTTCGAGGTGGAGCTTTTCAGCCCGAGCTGCTCTCCTCCTACAAAGAGGAGCTCTTGGACCAGCAGCAGGATGACACAAAGATGGGGGCCATGAAGACTCTTCTGGCTCCCATGGACACTGTGATTGCCAGGCTGGTGGATGCTGGCTACTGCGAACCACCCCTTCATGCTGCTGTCGTGGCCAACTCTGTGGCCTTGCTGTACAAACTCTTTCTAGATTCATACCTCAAGGAGGGGAATCAGCTTCTCTGCTTCCAGGTGCTTCCCAGGCTGTTTGGCTGCTTGAGGATTTCCCACCTGCAGGAGGAGCAGCTGCAAGCCCTGTCCACATCGGACTGGACCACAGAACTGCTGGTTGTGGAGCAGCTGCTAAACTCCGTGGCAAACAACAACATCTACAACATCGCGGCCGACAGGATCCGGCACGGAGAGGCTCAGTTCTGCTTCTACCGCCGTGTGGCCGAGCTGCTGATAAACCATTCACAGGCCTCGGTGCCAGCCTGGTTCCGCTGCCTCAAGGTGTTGATGTCTCTGAATCATTTGATCCTGGAGCCAGACCTGGATGACTTGTTGGCCTCAGCATGGATTGATGCAGATGTAATAGAGTTTCGAACCAAAAAGGCCCAGGAGGCCCTTGTTCACACTCTGTTCCAGACGTATGTTAAACTCCGACAAGTGCCACAATTGTTTGAGGAGATTTTGGGGGTGATCTGCCGTCCGGCTGCTGAAGCGCTGAGGCAGCCAGTGCTGGCCGCGGGCCCCTCCACGGTGCTCTGTGAGTGCCTCCTGGAGTTGCCTCTAAGTCAAATCTTGGACACATGGTCCCTTGTGCTGGAGAAGTTCCAGTCTTTGGTCTTGCCTTATTTGCAGGGCGATGCTGACATGGCCTTGAAGGCGCTGTCCCTGAGCTCAGTGCTGCACTGCGTCATGTTCAATATGAGGAGCCTGGACAGCAGCTCACCTCTGCCCGTCATCAGACGGATGCAGGGCACAATGGAGAGGATGCTCCGAGAGCTCGTAAAGCCCCTGCTGGACCTTCTGTTGGAGCCCCCGGGCCCAGAGCTGGAGCTGTGGCTGCAGAAGGTCAGTGACTCTGCGCTGCTGCTCTCTCACACCTGGGCCCAGGTTGACACCATGCTCAGTTTAAACTGTAGCCAGTATCACGCTGTGTCTGGGGCCTTCACAGGTGTTTCTCTGGAGATCTCGAACCTTCCTTTGTTGCTCCCAGGTGTAGAAACACACCATTGGAAGAAGATTGAAGAGATTACAGTGCAGTTCCACTCACTAGGCAGGTATTGCTTAGAACAGCTCTACCTGCAGAAAATGAAAAGGACTCTAATGCAAACCAGTTTCCATTCTGAAGAAGCCCTCCAAACTTTGAGGGGTGATGCTGCCTACATTCTTGGTTCTGGCAGAGAAAGCTTGAGTAGGGGGACGACGGCTTCCTGGGATGGCCAGGCTGGGACAGTGAGTGATGTCACGTACCCTGTGGCACACTGGCACTTGATTGTGTCGCATCTCACAATCTTGGTGTCCTATCTTGGTCCAGATGATGTGAGATACCTGGCTGGTATCCTCTTGAGCACTTTGCCAATGAATAAAGCCCAGGAAGGCTCAGCAGACGAAGAGCCGAACTTTACACTTGAAAAAATATCTGAGGCCTTGCTTCACAGCCCTCTCTTCCCAGAAATGCAGTCCCTTTACTCTGCTTTCTTAATGTGCCTAACTGAGAGGTGTACTAGCATTCTGCGTTCCGGGGCCCACAGTGACCTGAGGCTTCTCAGTCAGCAGCTGCCCTGGCTTTTTGAAAAGGACCCCATGGGTGTGGCTCATTGGGAAACCAGATTTGCCAAAGTTGGACCTGAAGGTACAGAACCAAGAGGAGAAATTGCCCAGAACTTATTATCCTTGGTCAAGAGTGACTTCCCCATTGAGCTGGAGGAAGAGCAGCTGGAGAGCATCCTGGGGCTTCTGGAAGTCGTTTCTACTCTACAGTTGGACAGCCTCATGGCTCCCTATCACGTACACTGCTTCCTTCTATTGCTGTCCTTGGCTATCACCAAGCTGGGGAGCTCTTGCTCCTCCTCACTGACCCTAAAGTTTCTGATGACTTGCTACAGGCTTCTTGGTTACCTGCAAAGAGGGAGAAGTGCCCGCTCAGTGCTCAAGGTCATGTACGTCAGTGATATTTTTGAAATCATGCTGACCTCATTGTTCAGGGCCAGTAGTGGGTTTCTTATTGATGGGGATGACCCCTCTTGGTTGGAACTCCTCCAAGTAATGGGGACATTCTTAGAACAGCTAATGCAGATGCTTGTCCAGATGAAGCTCAGCTTGGTGCTCAATTTTGGGAAAATTATTGCGTTCCTCTCAAGGTGCAGAGTGTATACTGAAGCAACTTCAGGCAAACAGCTGAAGAATCAGAATCCTCTGGGCCGGCAGCTCCTTCTGGTGTCTTTGACCAAGTTGTGCCAAGTCCTGGGGCCTTTTGTCAGGGAGCGGAAGCAGCAGCACGAGGCTCCCGAGGCGCTGCCGGGGCTGTTGCAGCAGGCGGTGCTGCAGACGGGCGCCGAGCTCCAGCTCTGCGTGGCTCCCGGGGCGCGGGGCCGCCTGCCCCCCACCTTCATCTCATCAGCCAGCACGCTGCTGGAGGCAGACGTGGGCCAGCACTCCAGGCCCCAGGGGACAGAGATTTCTCAAGGGACGGACAACATGCAGCTCGCCCACCGTGCCCTGTACCAGAGGGTTTACTCTCAAGTGCTGGCGGAGCTGCCGGCTCTAGCAGGAGACACGCAGTCTTTCCAGGCAGCTGTGCGGTTTTTAACTCTCTTCTTTTTGGCCCCAGAACTACACCCCAAGAAGGATTCTGTTTTTACCTCCGTGTTTCATTCTGTGAGAAAAGTTCTCGCAGGTAAGGTGTTTTCTTTCGCGCTAATTCTGTGCCCTAGAGCTTTTGGTAAAACTAGTGAAACATCCTGCAAGGTGAGTTGCAGCCCCTCCCCTTTTAGGAACAGGTGTTCATTTCAAAAGGTGCACCCCGTGAGTGGTGAGAAACTCCCCTCCCCAGGCATTCCTTCCCAGTCTGCACTCTGCACAGTTCGGCCGTCACCCCCAGTTTCTCTGTGTCTGACACACATGGTCGCCTTCTAGGGTTGTTGTTTAGCACCTTGGTTTTTCACTGACTTTGGAGATAGTACTAGTTTGTAGTTTTTTGTTTTTTTTTTTATCCTCACCCGAGGATATTTTTTCATTTTTTGTACAGATAGAGTGGGAGGGAGAGAGAGGAAGGGAGAGAGAGAGAGAAACATCGACGTGAAGGGACACATCGAGTGGCTGCCACCCGCACGACCAACCAGGGCCGGGGACAAACTGCAACCGAAGCACGTACCCTTAGCGGGAACTGAACCCAGGTCTCTCCGGACCGCAGGCCGACGCTCTAACCGCTGAGTCAAACTGGCCAGGGCTAGTTTGTAGTTTTGAAATTTCTACTTCTCTTTCCAGCTTTTATCTGTCCTGGCCCTGGGTGGTCACTATAGATCATTGCATTCTTATTAGTAGGCTCTTTGCATCAGATCCACAGTGCCAGCCATTGGCCTAAGAAATATACAGAATGTGCCAACTTTTGAAAAATGACAAGGACTTAATTTATAGGGAACCTCATAAAATCCCTTGGGGGCAGGACTTTGACCCCCTAGGGTTCAGCGTAGTGCCAGCCATCAAGCACCACAGTGTCATCGAGGTGTCTTAGTGGGATGTCACAAGGCTGCAGAGCCAGCCAGTGTCTTCATGTGTGAGGATCCCATGTGCTGTCTCCTAGGTCAAAGGTTAATGGGCCAGATTTCATCCCTAACTGTTTCAGATAGCACATGTCACCCCTGCAGCTGGTGCGTGTTTCTTTTCGTTTTGGTTGTTACTGGGGAGTGACTGGGCTGGTCAGTTAGGATATTTTGAGGTGAGGTTGGGTGACGGTCAGTCAAGCCTGACCCTCAGAACGCATGCCAACGTGTCTGCTTCCCAGTGGAGAAGCTGTGATGGGTGAGGAGGAGCCAAGTCGAGCTCCAATACGAAAGTGTTACATGTAGGAGGCAAAGTGCCTGGTCGCCTGGGCCTGCGTCAGAACTGAAGTGTTGAGGCCCGAGTCGCACGCTGTGGGCCCCTCTCTGTGGCCTTTCTGTCTCTGCCCCGAGTGTGGGTCGTCAGAGAGGCTTCGGTGGAACATGCTGTCTTACTGTCGGCGACTCTCAGGGATTGATGTTCACTTTCTTAATGGAGGCTAAAATTTAGTCTTTTATTAACACCCATTACGGTGTTCTAAATGAACGTCCTAAGAAATGGCAGCAGGTGGTCTGAGCCCTGGCCCTGTGCCCCTTTGTGAAACAGAATACTGAGTCCTCCTGTGCCCCTCCAAGTTGAGTGTTGAGGTGGTCTCTAAGTCCTAAGTGTGTTCCTGGACTTGTGGTACCTCAGACCTCAGGGACAGCTCCAGTCAGGGCTGTCCAAGGACAGAGCCAGCCACCCCACTGCCCCTCAGAGCACGGCCTGGGCATCCCCTCGGGTCCAGGCCTCACACCTGAGCTGCTAGGGACCAGAATGTGAGAGGTCTGGAAGAAATGCCAAGTGAGGAGAAGCCCAAGGTTTCGGGCAGGGAGAGGGCCAAAGGAAGGGCCATCTTTGTCCTTGAGTTACTCAGCTATTTCACTCAAAAGAGTGACAGTAGAACCCTGGCCGGTGTGGCTCAGTTGGTTGAGTGTCGTCTCAGGCACCGAGAGCTCACTGGTTCGATTCCTGGTCAGGGCACATGCCCAGGTTGCAGTATGGGATGTGCAGGAGGCAGCCAATCGGAACTCTCTTCGAAGTTTCTATTTCTTCCTTTACCCTCCTCTCGCTAAAATCAATAAAAAATATATATTAAAAAAAATGACAGTGGACTAGACTACCTTAATTCAGTTACAGAAACTATCACTTTTAAAGATGCTTGCTATATATGTGGATCTATATCCTTTTTGGAGATGAAGTGTTAACTTGGATCTATCTGAATAATTAAGTAAATAGACATTTACACAAATCACAGAAGTGTCAGGATGATGCAATGCTGTGAAGTGAACCAGACTGTGGGACTAGAGATTGAGAGGGTGCATGCGGGCTGAGTGTTTGTAAGCAGTGGCCTTGGAGGCCAGGAGGCCAGGTGGCCAGGTGGAGATGGGGGTGCGCTAGCACCGAACCTTCCGTGTCGTCCTCACTCTGCACGACCAGCCACAGCAATCGGTGCTGTTGTGCCCATTTCACTGGTGAGGGAATTGAGGCTGAGAGGTCATGAGTCTGGGATCTTATAGCTTATAGGTGACTGGGACCCAGATCTCTCAAAACCGTTGGTCCGTCTGCTCTCACTGCTGTACTTAGTAAGAAAAGATTGGGATATAGCAGGTGCCTGGCAATGTGTGATAGTCTGATGGCTGAAACATGGCTGAAAAGATAAGCTGAGGTCAGATTGTAAAGGGCCTTGGATGTCCCAACTTCAGGCTCTGTTATGAAACCATGGACCTGGGGACCAAGGGACATTAGGAGGCTTTCCTGCCTTGTGTGAGAGACAACTGGATGGCCACAACACAGTTGTGGAAGCTTTAGGGTTCTTTTCATCTGTTCAACATGCCCATCTGTTTAAGCGTACCAGTGCACCCTGTGACCCTGCTGGTTTTACAAAAGAATTTGAGGAAAGTAAGAGACTGTGAAGAAAGGAACAGCCACCTGTCTGCCATGGTCCTGGCTAAGCACGGCCGAGCACCTGCAGGCTCCCCTCGGCACTGTGTACGAGGCGTCGCGCTGCATTTCCATCCCCCGAACGGTGGCTTCGTGGCTGTGCACGCTTCATGATGTGGCTGCTGTAATTTATTTTGCCTCCCCTTGTCTGTCCCGTCTTCCACGCAGATCCTGCAGTTCCAGCCCAGGTACTTCGGGATATCGAGCCTCACTTGGGAGCCTTGTTCACCCACATGTTAGAGGTCGGGACGACAGAGGACTTCAGGACGATGATGCGGTGTGTCCTCCAAGGACTGGGTGTCAGGAACGCGTGGAAAGCAGAGCCGCCGGTGGGTCGCTGCTTCCTCCCTTGTCTGGCAGGCGTGTGAATGACATTAGCTCAAATGGGAAAATGTAAGATGCCATGTCACCCCAAAACCAACACAGAAACCAAGAGAGATTCGAGGCACAGAGGGAGCTTACGGAGGCAGCTCTGGCTTCTGGAGGCCCGGGCCCTCCGTATAAGGAGACTTTGTTTCAAAGGGGAACTTTCTCCAGTTACATTTTTGTTCTTGTTACATTACATACTAAATGTCACTTACTCAAAAAAGACACATAAAAATGTTAAATTCTGCTCATCCTTTTCTTAGGACCTTCCCCATCACACTTTGAAAATTTGTACTGATTTGGTTAGTAGTGATCCCATTTGAGAATCACTCAGGTCCACAAGCTGCCCTTCAGCCCTGTGCACCTTGGTGCATTTGCTGGTTGCTGATAAAGTCCCGCACGGCATTTGGTGTCCTGGATTGGAGCCTCTGCATGGGGCCCACACTGGCATTCAGTCCTCTAGTGGCCCCGGGCACTGGGCTGGTCAGATGTCCTCTTTCGCACAGGAGGAAGAAGGCCACGGGGCCAGGGTTACAGGCTTGGTTCTCTGGTTCTGTCTAAACTTTCTCTGTCGCACAAGTGGTTTCTTGACTCTTGATTATAATGATAGGAATCGGGCTTTGATTTGGGTGGGAGGGAGCTGGAGCGTTACTTTGGATTAGAATGGGGCAGCAGAGAGAACTCAGTCTCCTGGGCCGGGGCCAGCTCCTCTGTGCCATCGCAAGACTGCCTAGCCCTGGAGGTTTTTGCTGTGTGTCTGCAGCGTGATCGGGCCTTAGCTTTGCGAAGGCCTCTGGGCTTCCCTTCAGCAAGCCGAGGAAGTACAAGCCATACATTTCTATACCAGCTAGTTGGATAGTCAGAGCAGATTCTCGGAGGAATTGGTGAGACTCGAGCCCAGCATTAGAGATGAGGAGGATTTGGGTCAGGTGGCCTGAAATGGGGGCACATTGCTAAGGAGATGAGGAGGGTGGTGTGGGCACAGCCCAGTGAGCAGAGCATGTGTGTGTGAGAGAAGGTGGGGGCAGGGAGGTTCCAGCAGGCAGGCCTCGGTGTGTGGGTACATCCCACAGCAGCGTGGGAGGGGCCGGGCGGCCGACGGTGGTGGGGAGCCAGAGAGGGAAAGAGGAAGCAAGGGGCAGAGCCGGAATCTGGGCTGCGGGTTTGCAGTGTTAGGGGAGGAAGAAGAGGCTGGTGCGAGGCTGCAATTGATGACGTGAAATGCCCAGCATAGGGTCAGCATGGGCACTCAGTCAAGTTAGTTTCTTTCCCACGGAGTTCCCTTCTCATGGTTTAAAACCATCACCTGTAAGCACAGCACCTAATCCAGTGTTTACCTGGTCATGTTTCTTTCTGGCCCCTCCTTTTAGCCATGAGCACTCACCGTTCTTGCCCTGGTCAGTTGCAGCCAGCCTTGCCCCAGCACTGTCTTGACAAGATGGGATCTGTGTTTAATCACTGTGCCCGTCTGTGGCCTTTCACTTCACTGTCCTGACACTTACACATGTTTGGTTTAGTGAGATGCTATTGAATGCATCTACTTGCTCAGTTCTGCTCATCGTATTCATTCATTCCCTGTTTGGTGACATAAAGAGCATCACTCTCAGGACTTCACCCAGCCAGGTCTCCCCAGGCCCCTGACACCTAGGTTCTAATGGGCTCTGCTCTGTGACTCGAGCACCAGTGACTGGCTTCTTCCCAAGGTGGACTTCTGCGAGGGGGGCTGTTTCTGCTAACTCTTTCCTCTTTTTCCCTAGGCCATTTCGTCGGCTGTCACATGGATCAAGTTGCTACTGAACTGCTCACTCAGTGGGGAGAAAGCAAGTCTCTTCTGGGGTGTGTGCCCCCAGATAGTCACGGCTCTGACTGTGAGTGTCCCGCCTCGTCCCCCTCTTCCTGTCCGCACAGGGCAGGGGTTGGCTTCTGCCCTTCTCCGGTGTTACACAGAGTTCCAGGGGGCTGAAGATGGCTGTAAGCAGGGTCCTCTTCGTCCCTGTGTGTCCTGTCTTTTGTCTGTCTGCACACGTCAGGGTCATTGCAGAAGCCTTTTTCTTTCTGGGTGACTGTGTTGGTTTTAATGGCATTAACATCCAGGAGGTCACACATTAGTTCTGGTTAGTCACTGCTGCCATGGGCGAAGGGCTGCTGCCTCATGGCTGGGCTGTGACCCTCAGATGGGCAGCGATGGAAGGAATGTGGTGACCGAGGAGACTTCTGTGGAGGCCTGTACAGATGAGATGAGAGGAATTCTAGAGCTTTCTTTGCCCCACAAAATGTTGTGGTCAGTTTAGTGTATTCATTCATTGTAGGGTGTGTGTGTGATTAAAGTCTAATATAGTGAGAAAAAAGTGGCTTTATAGACTGGGAGAGCAATGCTGCAGGTAGATTATTGTTATAATCCCACCTGGTGACTGCACAGTGATCACAGGACTTTGTTTTACTAGAACAAGTGCTGACTTCAGCTTGGGACTGTCTCAGTGTTTCTGTCCTCTGACGTCTGGCATCAGTACTGTACTTTGGTGCAAAAGAACATCTATTTTCTTACCATCCTTATCAGCCTCACGCTCAGCTTGTGCTAACTGAGAGAATTGCCCTGTGTTAGCATATTCATAGGGCCGAGGGTCTAAAGAACAGACTTTCTGTTCTCTCCTTCTTCTGTTATGTTGCTCTGTTGTTTTCCTGGGAATCTGCACGTTAGTAGACGAATCCCATCTCTGCCTAGTGTGTGTGTATGGGGGGGAGTCGGAGAAGAGGGGCCAGTGGCTTGTGAGTGGTGTTGGCCGTGTGCGTGTAGGTCTGTGGTGATAGAAGCTCGGCTGGAAAGGGCTTGGCTAACCCTAAGCGGGACCGCGCGAAGCTAGCACAGCAGAGCACCCGGAGAAAGACCGGCACTGTGAGAGACAGGCCCCACGAGGCCTTGGCCGAGGTGCCGCTCCAGGTGGCTCCCGAGGGAGGAGGGCTGCAGGTGCCTCACCTCGAGTCTGTCCTCCTTGTGCTCTAGACCAGTAATGGAGTATCGTGACCTAGAGTCGATTGTTTGGAAAGGTGATGCATGAAGTTTAGCTGTAGTCATGTAGAACTAATGATCTGTGCAGGGAAATACTGTTATGTGTGTCTGCTGAGAGGTTTCCTTGTTTTGATAAATTGGATGAATCAACTCTGATGAGAAATTACTGCTCACACAGATGAATCCAGCAAACTGTGTGGCCCAAAACAGCCAAGTCCACAGTGGTCACCCTTGGAGATGGGACACTGGTTTCCTTGTTACTTCAGAATGCCCACTGGCCACATCGGTGCATTCGGGAGTTTGGGCATTTTTCTGTCACTTCAATTCTTACCTCTGTCTGCTTCAGGTTTTGTGTTATTTCTTTTAGAACCACCTTCATTTTCTTTCCTTTATTCCTTCTTGTCCTGTAGCTGCGAAACCGAGAGGCTTGTCAGGAGCAGCCTGTGCCCTTGGCGGTGGTCGAGCCCGTCTTGGACGTCCTGGCTGCACTGCTGCGGCACGGGGAGGAGGTCATCAGCAACCCTCACCACGTCAGCCTGGCCTTCAGCATCCTGCTGACCGTGCCCTTGGACCACCTGAAGGCGCCCGCCTACGGGAGCGTCTTCTCGCGGGTGCACAACGTGCTCTTCTCAATCCTGCAGTGTCACCCGAAGGTGAGGAGGACCAGGCGCCAGGCAGCCTCTCCTTTGTTAGCAGGGTGATTTTGCCTTCAGAAAAGCAGCAGTGAAACGTCACTGTTGCAGGATAATAAAAATGATTAGTTAAGTAAACCACTGGTTCCCGTAATTTCCAGGGCCAGAGTGGTTTCTCAAGCACAGAAATGCTTCACCTTCCCATCGCGCTGTTGGAGTGAGTTCATCTTTGTTGGATCTGACACTGAACAATGTAACAGTGTTTGTGTTCTCGCTATTTAAGGAAGCTCGTTAGAAATTACTCCATTTTTGCAGATCACATTTTTAAATATCACTCACTCGCCTAGCTTCTTGGGTATATAATTCAAATGGGTGTGGAGAGTGAGGCATGCTGAGTTCCAGTTAGTATGCTGCCTTTCCAATCAAACCGGCACTAGATAGAAATGCCGCATAGAAAAGATTCCAGTTCAGCCAACATTTATTGAGCACTTGCTGTGTGTCTCATTTCACCTCTGCAGCAAGTTGAAGCAGTAGGTGGTAATCCCATTTTACTGATAAACAGGCTCAGAGCTGCCAAGTGATTTGACCAATATTGTCCAGCTAAGTCTGTCTTAGGTTTAAGACTGGATTTCTCTGATCAGTGTCAGCTCTGTACATGGGATGCTTGGGACTCATAAACAAGGTGGACCTCTGCCCACAGACACATTCACATAGTTTTAAGCGTTTTAATGATCTGAGGTTAGAGACCTGCCAGCAATGCAGTTTTTAAAACATTTGTTCTCTGGCAAACTAAGCACTCATGATCCTGGGCCTCACTCCAGTGCCTTCCCCATTTAGCAGTTGCCTTTGGCCCTGCCTGTCTTGTCCGCATCTTTGTTATTGCATCTCCCTGCAGATTGTCAGAGTTTTATGTGACCGTTCAGTGTAAATGCAATAGCAATCAATTACAGGCTGAAATTGCAGGTCCTGCAAAAGACGCAGGATTTCATGCAGCCACGGAAAGTCATGTCAGCCATGTGAATCTGCAAAACCAATAACAAATACCATTGAGCAGAAGTAGATTGTTTAGTGAGAGAGTTGACATGGTGTTGCAGTTAGGGATGACATGACTAATAATTGCTCACCCTCATATTGCCTGTGGGATAAAGAGAGGGAAGGGGGGCCCCGTGTGGTGCATGGTCAGTGTTGGCAGTGTGTAAAGTAGGTACAAGTTGATAAAAACACCAGGCTAGAATCTGTTGAGGTAAATCTAAAGGGGATGGATGATGTGAAGTGAGCCCAAGGCCCAGGCAGAGCACCCAGGAGAATGATGAGCAGCTGGTGCTATTCTAAACACTTCACATGTTGTAACAATTTAATTCTCATTACCGATTAGTAATCTTATTTTGCAGATGTGGAAACAGGCACAGAAAGGTTGGGTGATTTGTCCAAGATCACGTGTTAAACCAGGGTGGCAGCTCAGAGAGTCTGGCTCTGGATTTGTGTGCTTTTAGTTCTATGATAGCAGAGGATTAACAGATCCACGGAGGAGCTGATGAAGCTCTGGAATACTTTTGCAAAAATGATCTCTTACTGAACACACTGCAAAAGTTTATACTTTGATGGAAAGAATGTGATGTTATGTTACCAAGAATTTGGTTGGATAAATTATACCAAAGAAAAGAATTCCAACGCTGGATTTATTGTTTGTTCACTCTAAGAACTAGAGCAGTGCTGTCTGGTAGGACCTTTCAGCGGTGGTGGACATGTCCTGCATTTGTGTTGTCCAGCAGGGTAACCACTGGCCACTTGTGTCTTGACCAATTGAAATGTGATCTAGGAACAATATGACTTGGAACTGATTTTAACTTTAATAAGTAGCCACATGTGGCTTGTTTGTAGTTGCTTTATTGGATAGTGGGGGTTTTGATCATGATTTAAGGATGATTGAGTATAAAATAAGCATGTTTTATATTTTTAATATCGTTTTTCAAGATAAAGTCCCAGCCAGCCCTTTTTATCACTAAAACATGAGAAGTTTTGATCCTTATTTTAAATAGATTTGCTTTTTGTAATCTTTTTTCCAGTGCCAGTTTTATTTAAATACATTGGCTATTTTCCTTTTATTGTTTATTTCTGCCTACTTCCAGAATACACTAGTAATAGCTTATAGTAAAAGACACAGATTCAGCACATTCTAAACTAGGCTTGCTCCGTTAGATTCCTAACATTATGCAGCATGGAAGCCCTACCTTAGGCCTTCAGTGTTAGGGTCAAGGTGGATGAGCAATTTCCCTGGGAGGTCCAGGCAGAAGGAAGTCACCTGTTTTGAGCCTCTCCTGATAGGTGAGGTTAAGAAGGAAATAAGGTGAGCTCCTTTATTTATTTACTTAAAAAATTTTTTTTCTTCCTTTATTGATTTTTAAGAGAGAGAGGAAATGAGAGATAGAAACATCGATGAGAGACAACATTGATTGGCCACCTTCTGCATGCCCCCCACTGGGGATTGGACCCACAACCTGGGCATGTGTCCTGACCTGGAATTGAACCGGCGACCTCTTGGTGCATGGGTCAGCGCTCAACCACTGAGCCACACGGGCCGGACAAAGATGAGCTCCTTTAAAGAGAAGTTGAAATAAACAGTTACTTTCATACTTTTATTTTCTGTTGTCTGTTTTTGTTACAGGTAATGCTGAAAGCCATCCCTTCTTTCTTGAACTGTTTCAATAGGTTGGTGTCTTCAGTGATGCATGAAGGACGGCAAAAAGATAAAGGTAATTCTGAGTCACAGTATAAGCTGCATGAGTTCAGATGTGTTTATCTTGCAGTGTCTCTGGCCATATACTTTAGTGAAAAGAAAACCACCCAGTTGAGTTTAAGTCAGAGAAATATTCTCAGATCATCAAATGAATACGGAAAACAAGTTTTTAAAAAAATTTCAAACTGTCACACTTTTTTACTATGTCTAGAATAGTGAATACATTTGCTGTCTCCTAATTGAAATAGTTCTTTTTCTGGGGAAAAAAAATGGTATCTAGATTCAGGAAGTATTTGCTCTAGTATAAAGGGGATTTAAAAGCGACTATAGCCCCAGTCTTGGCCTTGAGGACTTCACATTTTAATGGGAAAGGAAGCAGCAGTTGTAGAGCGGCCTCATCTGTGCAGGGGACGAGTCCCTCCCGGAACTCACCGTGCAGCCCCGTCTCGGCCAAGTTCTCTTTGTTTACCCATGAAGCAAGTCGCCATATGGCAGTCGCATAAATTATATATACAGCTTGTTTTCCACCCTTGAAGTTTGTTGATTCCTGCTAGATTTTTAATTTGGGGATTGATTCTTATTAATGAAAAATGCGCACTACAAAGTGAGACTGTCTATATTGCGCTTTCTCTAATTTGCATGGCATGGACCAGCCTCGTGCGCTGCAGTGTGCAAAGCACAAGGATAGGGTGTGTGACGGCAGCCCTGGGAATCAGAGGAAGGGTTTTAAGTCAAGCTGGTGTCAGGGAGGACACCAGTGGTTCTGGGCCGATTAGAAATAAAGTCAAATCTCCCTTTTCGAATGTCTCCCATCTCAAACACTTCGCTTCTCGACCTGACAGCCCTTTCGTGCTGACACCTGTATGGTCACTCATGCGTCGCTTGGGATGGAGGAGAGAGTGCATGAGTAGGAGGCAGTTTACCGCCAAACCTCACGTTGTTAACATCTCAGGAAATTGAGTATTTTCATGTGTTTTTTTTGGTTTGTTGCTGCTTATTATTATTGAATTTCTATTTTTTTACTGTATATCTCATTTCCTTTTTGCTAGATTTTAATTTGCATTTCTGTCCTTTTTGTTTTTAAAGTGTTTATAGATTAAACAGTATATTTAGACATGTGCTGTATATAAGAAAGGTTAAAACAGAATCATTTTGGGGGTCTGGGACAGATTCATTGAATTTACATTCTTTCTGATGGGAAAAAATGCTTCAGTTTTCAGTGTTCTAGAATGCTCACCTTCTAGAACAAATGAAGTTCGAGAAGCGAGATTCCACTGTACATGAGTGGTATGCACCTTCTCCCCCGCCAGTGTGAATCAGTTCAATAGGTTCAGACTTGTAGATTTAAGGTATAACTGCTTAACCCAATAGACTTTTGAGGAAAGAGAAAAGGTATAGTCAACACTGCACTATAATTCCCTCCTCCTGGTGCGGGGATTAGTCAGGGATTACACAGTTAGGTATTTGGCTTTCTCCCTTGCCTGGTGCAGAGGATACCTCCATGTAATACTGTGAATATATTTAGGAGCAGGATTGGGGAACAGGTTCCAGGCCCCACGCTAGCCTTGGTCAGCTGGTGGGGCCAACTACAGTTCCGTGTCGAGGCCTCTAAGGTCAGGTCTGAGCTCAGCAAGAAGCAGTCCCTGCCCCAGCTCGTGAGGCTGCCTGGGCAGGACATGGGAAGCAGCAGTGTGGGGGAGCCTGGTCCCAGCCTCACCAAGCAGTGGAGCAAACCTGGTCACACGCTGCCACAGGCGTGTTCTACGTGCAGTTGAACGTGTGTCCTTTGTTCCGAGGGAGCGTGGGGCACATTGTGCAGCTGGGCCCTGTGCTGCGTGGCTCTGCTGCCTCTGTGTCGGTGCCGCTCAGTCACTCCAATCTGCCGAGACAGTTCCCGGACATGTTCGTGGCCTGAGTAGAATTTTAACTATCTACTCTCTTGGTTGGTATCTAAAGCACTCTTTAATGACCACACATTCAATCTGGCATCATGCTGTGAAGTGCATGTGTGTGTTGAGCAGTCTCCAAAGAGAAGAAATGGTATATATTCCATATCAAAATGCCCCACTAGGGTGCATTGCCTGTTCAGATATCCAGTGAATGTTAGCAGTTTACATAATTTCATGAAATTACATCGATCTAGAAAAATTGCACATATATAAGATGTTTGTATGCATAATAAAGGTCTTAAAAAGACATTGTACATTCTAAAAGTCAAGGTTATTAAGGCATAATGTATGAGTAACTAACTGCATGCATTTGACGTATACAGTTTGATGCCCTTTGATAGGTGACTCCGTGCAGAAACCCCCGCCACAGTCAAAACAAACGTTTGCGTCATCCTCTCAAGAGTCTTCTTGTAGTGCGTTCCCCACTCTGGCGCCGGCGCCAGGCGACCGCTGGTCTGTGTTTGCCACTGTAATCTGTTTGCATTTTCTAGACTTTTATGAAAATGGGTATATCACTCTGGTGAATGAAGACAGCAGGGCAGGTGCTCTGGCCTGTGGCCTCTGTTGTGGAAGCCTGGGGGAGCTGCTTTAACCTGGGCTGTGAATAACATTTTAGGATTCTTGATTTCTTTATCGGTTCAAGTTCTTGAGTGGGATTTGTGAAGAAGGGTCTGGATGGCCCTGTCACCTTAAGGTGAAAAAACGAGGAATCAGAAATAAATCTGGGAAGCCCTGGCCAGTGTGTCTCAGCTGGTTGGACGTTATCCTGTGTGCCGGGAGGTTTCTAGTTCAATTTCCTGTCAAGGGCATATACCCAGATTGCGGGCTCAGTCCCCAGTGTGTGTGTGTGTGTGTGTGTGTGTGTGTGTGTGTGAGGTGTGGGGGGTGTGGAGGGTGTTTGGGGGGGCTGTATGTCGGGGGGGGGTGTGGGGGAGTGTGCAGAAGGCAGCTGATCAGTGTTGTGCTCTCCAGTCGATGTTTCTCTCTCCCTCTTCCTTTCTTTCTAAAAATCAATGAACTATTCTTTAAAAAGAAAAAAAAAAGAAAACTGGGAAGACAGTAATGATAATTGAGTTGCGTGTGTGTGTTTGTGTGTGTGCATATACACACACACATATATATGCCTATAAAAGAAAAATCTACACAGCTACCCTGTATTTCATCCTAAAAATCTTGATTACTCTCTATAGACTTAGACAACCACGCACTCTTGAGTGTTTTAACTGTTCTTCCCTTTGTTGTTCAGCTAAATATTTGGACACATCGTCTCTCCCTCGTTCTGTCTGTAAAATAAGCTAATTAAAGAGTGGGAAAAATGGAAGGTCTGAGTAATTTGGGGCTATAGTAAAAGTATAAAATTAGAAGAATTAAAGCACATGGGTTTGAACTAATGGGTTTGGAAACACTTTGCTTGTGTAGGAAGCACAGACGACCTGCCGGTGTTCCTGGAGTGTGCCCGCCTGGTGGAGAGGATGTATAGCCACATCGCAGCCCAGGCTGAAGAGTTCACGGTGTTCTCCCCCTTCATGGTGGCCCAGTATGTGGCGGAGGTGCAGAAGGTAAGCCGAGTTCACTGCCACTCACCAAGTGCTTCTGTTTGGAGTCCTTTGTAGCCAGACTTCTCAACCAAAGCGGCAAGAGCAAATTTGGGCCTGCTCATCCTCTGCTGTGGCAGGGTGTCCTGCATGTCCCCCGGTGTGGACCAGTACCCCTGCAGGACTGTGGAGGATGGCTCTGCTCATCCTCTGCTGTGGCAGGGTGTCCTGCACGTCCTCCAGTGTGGGGCAGCCCCCTGCAGGGCTGTGGAGGATGGCTCTGCTCATCCTCTGCTGTGGCAGGGTGTCCTGCACGTCCCCTGGTGTGGGGCAGCCCCCTGCAGGGCTGTGGAGGATGGCTGTGCTCATCCTCTGCTGTGACAGGGTGTCCTGCATGTCCCCCGGTGTGGGGCAGCACCTGCAGGACTGTGGAGGATGGCTCTGCTCATCCTCTGCTGTGGCAGGGTGTCCTGCATGTCCCCCGGTGTGGGGCAGCCCCTGCAGGACTGTGGAGGATGGCTCTGCTCATCCTCTGCTGTGGCAGGGTGTCCTGCACGTCTCCCAGTGTGGGGCAGCCCCCTGCAGGGCTGTGGAGGATGGGATGAAGTGGCATTCCAAGGACCGCAGTGCTGGTAACTATTAGGTCTCCTTCTTGCCCAGCATGAACCTCAGGGTCTGTTTTGGCTGGTCTCTTGGGTAATCAGGGAGATGAAATGCTCTCTAGGTTCAAGAACAGCAGCTCTCATAGGACCGGGCTTATTGGCGACTAGAAAGAGGCATCCTGGGCCCCTCGGCTGCAGGAGTTCTTGGATCTGTGCTCCCGGGGTCTGCTGTGCATGTGACTCAGCTGCTCTCAGACCCTCAAAGTGGGTGACGTGCTGGAGATCCCAGCAGAACAAGGTTAAAACCACTGGTAAACTGGGACGTTAGAGATGCTGCGTTTTGCAGGGGCCATTAGATCGCACGGACGTCCTCACAGACCCTGGCGTGGCATCAGCTTTCCTCCGACCCTGCTGCGGGAGGGGTCTGTCACCACTAAACAATTTTCAGACCAACCGGCCCTGCTCACTTGGGCCAGTGGAGATGCCTGTCGTGGCTGGGCAGTTGGCCGGTGAGGGACAGGGGATACGTCAGGACCCTTCATAGCATCCTTTGAAGGAGACGTGGACTTGGCGTTTGGTTTCCTTGGAGTTATTTAGCATTTTTATAGACTCTTGATACTTTCCAAGCACTCAAGTCAGTAATATGTAAGTGTCTGCGGAAGGAAAAGCTGGCTTAACTCTCTGTTTCACTGAACAATAAAATGAGACAGTGATATTACTTAACTAAGGGCCAAGAAGGGAGGCAATGATTTGAACCCTTAAGTCATTAATTATTACTCTGAGATTTACTTTATGAAAAGTCTCTGGTTTCCTGGCCTCATTATTTGTGTCTAATTTATGCTTATCAGTTATTTTTTAAATTTCAGTCTTGAAAGCCAAGGCCTTGGGAATTATCTAAGGCTGTAGTACCCCAGAATCCCTTGGCAGCAGAGTCTGTGCTTTATCTTCGTTTGTTTTTCAATGTAGTAATGCAGAAAATATTCCATATGCATTAGAGGCTTCTACTGAGAGAGCTGTGAATCTCTCTAGACCAGAAAGACATTTTTAAGATTAATTACTACTAGATAGTGAGTAGAGCGAAGTAACCCTCCTTTGTGTTCTCCTCGTATTTCTGTGGAGGGGGTGTTGGTGAAGGTCTGTCTGTAGTTGGAGCAGATGACTGGGTGGGACCGTGTTATTCAGAAGCAGCAGTGACTCCTGCCGATCTTGGTCCCTCCATGCAGTGATGTGTCACCGTGGAGACGAGGCAGGAAATTCCTTTATGGTCACTTTTCTCTTTACCTGTAGATCAGATTTACAGCTATTCCTCCACGATCACTTAGACTCGCAGAGATGGGGAACGTCCAGCCCGCAGGCCATATGAGGCCCTGGAAATCAATACCAGCTAACATCACACGCCTCTCCAGATTAGCCTCACCAAATACAGCAGGCTCATTTTTAAGTTGATAATTGTGTGTGGCCCAAAAGTGATGTTATAAACATCCAAATGGCCCTTGGCAGAGAAAAGGTTCCCCACCCCTGGTAGAGTAATAGTTTGTGCTGCTCATCCTGCCCAAGGTTCTTTGGAGCTACTCAGAGACGTTTTTATTTACTGGCCAGTGATCTTAGTGTTGTAGAAATTGACTGTTTTCTCTTGTTTAATAAATAAGTTTCCTGAAACATAAAGATGAGATAGTCATGTGGGTTCAAAGCCGCTGGCCTCCTGTGGCCTGCCAGAGCTCTCTGCCCTGGGCCGCCCTGATGACACCGTCCGTGCAAAGGAACTGCAGCGAGCGTGGCCTCAGGTCTGCCACTGCGGCAGTGGAATGATTTGTTCAGTGTGTGATGACTGAATGAATGAATGAGCGGTCAACTTAAAAATCCTCACCCCACTGGTAAGATTAAGGATTTCTTTTGTTTTTCAATTGTCTTGTTTGTTTTATTTTTTCTTTTTCTCCCTAATGGCTCTCTGTGAAATCCACAGACAAGGCAGTGTACCTTCCGTCCCTGAGTGTTCTTATTCATGAAACAGTACAATTTTTTTTTTTTAATCCTCACCCAAGGACATTTTTCTATTTTATGTTCAGATAGAGTGGAGGGAGAGAGAGGGAGAGAGAGAGAGAAACATCGATGTGAAAGGGACACATCGAGTGGCTGCCACCCGCACAACCCAACCAGGGCCGGGGACAAACTGCAACTGAGGTACGTGCCCTTAGCGGGAACCGAACCTGGGTCTCTACAGACCACAGGCCAACACTCTAACCGCTGAGCCAAACTGGCCAGGGTAAAACAGTACGATTTAAGATGATCTTGTCACAAGTTTTGTGAACTATCATGTGAAAATGACCATGACTTTGAAGAAGAGCATCCTTTAATGACAGACACAAATGGCCTTTTTAGGAATCTGCCTCCCAGTGGTTGCCTTGGCGACTCAAAACTCCTCCCCATGAATGAGATACGTCTTCGTGGGAAGCTGTGGTTTGCAGAGAGGCATTGTGGTTTGCAGGTGACCTCATCAGGACTTAGTAAAGAATCAGCCACATCGCAGGCCTCTCGGCTGGGACCGTCCCAATGCTGTTTGTTTTCCGCTGGGCATTCAGACTCCGCTCAGCTCCAGGCTCAGCTGAGACCTGAGTAGCTGCAGCAGATGCGAGTGGGGCCTCCTCGCCTCTTGTCTGCTGTCAGTCCGAATCTCCGATCTGACAGTTTGTGCACGATTGTCAGTGTAGCCAAGTTGGAGCTGGACTGTCCATGCACCTGCCGTGCTCCAGATTTTAGGTAACAGAGTCTCAGGAAAGAAATTGGTCCCTTTAGGCACAGGCCAATCTAACCATTGTGAAGCAGTTAGGAATTGAGGACCCATTGTACTACTGTTGATGGAAATAAAAATACCCATTAAGTGGCAATCAAATCACATGTGATCCTGGGTGGTCTCATGTGATCCAGTTGCTAATGTAGGTGTGGCAGTGACCTGTTTGGAGTGTCGGAGCCTGCCCCTCCCCTCCTGTTCACCTGCCCCGGGGGCAGGTGGGCTCTCACCTTGGCAAACATTGCTTCCAGGTGCTGGCAGCTTTTACTGTGAGTTTTAAATGTAACGAGTTCAGTTTTTCAATGCCCCTGGTAGACACACAGGCATTGTGTGTTTATGTATGCGGCGCTACCCCTTTGATGTTTTATTCCAGGTTTTTGTTCACTTGAGTTGGCTTCTATTTCCCCAAAATATAAACTTTTAAGATGTGAATATTCATTCTGTCAGTCGTATGTAAAAAAACACTTTAAAAGGAATATCTTTTCTCAAGTTGGAGGCAGACGTTGAAATTCCTTGTCAGGGCTTCCCAGGCCTGGCCTCTGCCTGAGCGCTCACAGAGGCGGTGTCCCTCCCCAGGTCACCCTGATCCCGGCGGTGAAAGGCCATCTGCAGGAGGGCATCTACCTCATCCTAGACCTCTGCATCGAGCCGGACATCCAGTTCCTGCGGGCCTCGCTGCCGCCAGGGGTCCGAGATGTCTTTAAGGAGCTGCACAGCGACTACGTGAAGTACCACAGGGCGAGGCACGAGGGCGAGAAGAGGTACGCCGCCTGAGGCGCCCCCCGTGGTCTGCTGACCCGGCGAGTGGAGGACTGCAGATGTTGTCACGACGGGAAATACATGCAAGTCCTCTTGGGATTGTCTAATAGTCATACTGGATTTTACAGCCATGTTTTCAACACTGAGTATTTTTTTAACATATCTTTTTATGAAATACGTATTGCCATAGAATCCTAAAAATACACCTTAGAATGAGGTGAATTCAGTAAAATAAATTGCTGCGCCTCTCTTGGGCCTTTCCAAATGTGGTTCTTGCCTCAATCCCTCTCTCTGCCAGGAACTATGTGGACTTTATTTTCTTACTTCAGGTACAGGGCTATATAATTAAGTACTATTTAAATATCGCTGCCTGTTATATTTCTCAAGTAACATGGGAAGTGTTGAAATGCCACTTTTCTGAGTTGACCTTCTGATGGAGCCGGGGAAGCAGAGTCGGCTGCTCTGGGCACGGAGCGCCCTTTGCACAGGTTGGTGCTGGTGAGGGTGGGCCTCCTCCCGCCTGTCTTCCCTCTCCTGTCCCTCTTCCCCCTCCCACGTGTCTTCCCTCTCCTGTCCCTCTTCCCCCTCCCACGTGTCTTCCCTCTCCTGTCCCTCTTCCCCCTCCCACGTGTCTTCCCCCTCCCGCCCGTCGTCCTGGGCAGCTCTGGATTTGCTTCAGCATGCGTCCTCTGTTCAGTCCAGGAGTGCTCTAATGACTGTGTGCTTGCTACCTAAGCAGTGGCTTTCATTACAGCAGCCTCAGAAAATAGAACTGAAAAGAAAAAAATGTTATTGATTTATTTATTTAAAGGGAAAATAAATTAAAAACATTCAGTTCCACCTACCTACTCAGCCTCTGTGCTCCTTGGTCTGCGTCTGCGTTGTTTTCGTCCCTTTGCTGTATGTATACATGGAAGTGACTATGTAGTCGTCAAGTTGGATCATAAATGCAATTTTGTTTATTTGTTCTAGTTACCTTTTTGTCCTGTGTAAAAGTTCAAGAACGTCTTTGGGTCTATAAAGGCATTTGACATACTTTTTAGTGGCTGCATAGTATTCCATTGAACAGATGTAGCTGTTTCATTTAATGAATTCCCCATGGTTAGATGACAGGATCTTTCCAAATTTCCTTCTACAGATGGTGCTTGCAGTTGAATCTTCCTTCTATCTTGATTTCCATAAGATGAAGTCCCATAAGTTGTATTGCTGGTCAGAAAATCCTATCAGTTCTTAAGGATTTATATAAATATTGCCAGCTTACCCTTCAGAAAGTATACTAATTTATTTTCCTACTAGTGAGTCAACAACTGTAATATTACTGATTTTGTTTTATGCTTCCTTGATGGCAGAATATTACTTGGTTTTGAATTTCTTTCATTATTAAATTACACATTATTTTCTTTTTTCTTTTTTTAATCCTCACCCGAGGACATTTTTCCATTTTTTGTTCAGGTAGAGTGGGAGGGAGAGAGAGGAACAGAGAGAGAGAAACATCGACGTGAAAGGGACACATCGAGTGGCTGCCACCCGCACGACTGACCAGAGCCGGGGACAAACTGCAACCGAGGTACGCGCCCTTAGCGGGAACCGAACCCGGGTCTCTCAGGACCGCAGGCCGACGCTTTAACCGCTGAGCCAAACTGCCAGGGCTACACATTATTTTCTTAAAAATTTTTTTTTCCTTTATTGATTTTATAGAGAGGGAGAGAGAGAAAAAAGATCGAGGAGAGAGAACATCGATTGGCTGCCTCCTACATGCCTCCAACTGGGGATATTGGGCCCACAACCTGGGCATGTGTCCTGACTGGGAATCGAACCGGTGACCTCTTGGTACATGGGTCGATGCTCTACCACTGCGCCACACTGGCCGGACCATTATTTTATTTTATTTTTTTAATCCTCACCTGAGGACATTTTTTTTTTTTTGCATTTATCTTTAGATAGAGCGGGGGGGGGGGGGGGGGAGAGAGAAACATTAGTGTGAGAGAGACACAGCGATTGGCTGCCTCCTGCACTCATCCTGACTGGGGCCAGGGATCAAACCTGCAACCCAGGCACGTGCCCTTGACCAGAAATCAAACCCGAGACCCTTCAGTCTGCAGGCCAACCCTCTAACGCTGAGCCAAACTGGTTAGGGCTACACATTTTTTTTTTTTATTTACCATTTTTCTTATATAAATTATGTTTCTTATCTAATGTTATTCTGTTTCTTAATTGGGATATTTGGGGTTTTTCTTACTATCTGTGGAATTCGTATTGGAATTCTTATCACACCCCCTTTTTAAAAATATATTTTATTGATTATTTATTTATAGCCTCACTCGAGAACACTTTTTCATTTTTTGTTCTGAGTGGGAGGCAGAGAGAAGAAGAGAGGGAGAGAGAAACATTGACGTGAAAGGGACACATCGAGTGGCTGCTACCCACACGGCCCTGACCCAACCAGGGCCGGCGACAAACTGCAACCAAGGTACGTGCCCTTAGCGGGAACCGAACCCAGTCTCTCTGGACTGCAGGCCGATGCTCTACCGCTGAGCCAGGGTTATTTTATTGATTTTTTAGAGAAAGAGGAAAGGAGAGAGAGATAGAAACATCGATGTGAGAACGATACATGCATTGGCTGCCTCCTGCACGCCCCCTCCCGGGGATGGAGCCCGCAACCCAGGCATGTGCCCTGACCGGGAATCGAAACGGGACCTCAGTCACACCTGCCAGGCTCACCACACCCATTTTTTAGCCAAAATGTCAACTTAAGTTATTTGAAGGATCATCTCTAAACAAAAGGCTTTTTTAAAAAACACTTTTTCAAGCACATGAGCCCATGTGTTTGGAGCAAGTAATATAAAATGGATTTTTTTGGCTACCTAAGAGAAGTAGCCCATTTTTCATGCCACAGATTTGATGTCATGAGCTGGGAGAGAGGGCTGCTCGGCCTGCTACGTGTTCTGTCCGTCCTTCCCTGTGGGCACAGCATGTGTGTAGACGCTCTGAGCTCTGGTAGCCAGAAGTGGATTCAGGTGGTCTGGCGTCATTTTTTTTGCTTAATACTCTGTATTGGCAAACTTTCGAGTCTGTGTTGAATTTCCCACAGGATCCTCTAAGAGGTTGATAACATTGTTTCTTGTTCACACCTGGAGATGGTATATGGGAGTAAGCAGGTGACCTTTCAAGGACACAGGCTGTAAACAAAGATGGAATCAAAATCCTTATTTCTGCTTCTACCCTTTTGGTCCCGTGCTCAGACAAGACGGTCACTGCTCTCAGGGGCCCTCATGGAACCCCCCACCCCCCATTTTTCCTCTGCTTGAGGTTCACGAAGGCTGGAGGTTAGCAGTAATTTGTTTCCCCTACTTTTGGAATATTCCTGGGTTGCCGACAAACATGGAGTCATTCCTCAGGTGTCCTGATGGTGGCACTGCAGGGCCACCGCCAAGGCCCGGGGCTGCTTGGAAAAGGGAGCCGGCAGGGTGTCTTCAGAGCAGTGGGAGCTGGGAGCCTGTCAGCTCCTGTCCCTCCGCAGTGTCCCCTCCGGAGAAGGGCTGTTCCAGTTTCCTCCTCGTCACTGCGTTTGAACTCGAAACCTTCCTCCGGAGAGAATCGTTCTCAACTCTATTTTGTTCACTAATGGGGAAAAGAAGACATTTTTCTCCGTGGGTATAACGCTGTGTTCATTTTCATTTTGTTAGAGTGGGACTGACGGTAGAGAGAGTTGGCCTGGACAGAACAGGGGACAGAAGTGACAGTGAAAGACGGCTTGAGCAGGGCCCCTCCGACCCGCCTGGCACCAGATCGCACACCGGAGGCCCTGTTCCTTCGTCTGACACGAGGCCTCGCCGCCTCTGTGCTGGGCCGGGCTGGGCCGCGTGGAGCCTCCTTCTGGCAGGGACATGGGTAGTGAGCCCGCAGTGACACGAGCACGTCATCCCAGATGCTGGTCAGGTGCAGGGGCTGGGCGCACCTGCCTGAAGGGTAAGGACTGATCCCTGGGGACACCAGCTGTTCTAGGGAAGGGAGAGAAAAAGGAGCCGAAGGCAAGAAAGAAAGTTGAAGATACCGGGGACCCTAGAGACAGAAGATTCGGAAAAACCAGGTGAGCCAACAAGCAGAGCTGCCTAGAGGTGGAGAGCACGGACCAGCGGCCGAAGTGGGTGGTTAACGTGGATCCCGTTCTGTTCAGAGACAGTTTGCATGGGAGGGTGACCAAGAGGAGGGGTGGACGACAGGTGAGGCTGCCCCTATGTGGTTGCCAGTCCAGATGAGGGGCTGGGGCGCTTTGCGGGGAGAGCAGGGCTGATGTTCAAATTGTTTCGTTCTCCCCAACCTCTCCCTCTCCCTTCCCCCTCCGATGTCACTGGCTGCCTCTGCACGCCCCCTCTCACACCCCAGGTCCACTCTGAATCATCTCATCTAGTCCTGAGTGGGCAGCCGGCCAAGACGAACTGATCTGTCACATTCGTCTTCCAGAGCACCCCTCATGACCTCCCTGTCCTCCCTCCTTCCTCTTCCTCCTCTGGCCACCTGTCCACATGCTGTGATCGCCCGCCACCTGCCTTAAACACCTTCAAGGACCCTTTGTCTTCTAAGAACAAAGCCTCACCCTGGAACGCGAGGCTGCGTGTGTCCTGACGGTCCGTCTGCGGCCTCCGCACATGCTGCCGGTGAGCGCACGCTCTGTCCTCCCGCATTCGGACACCTGAGGGCAGTCATCTTGGTGCCCTTTCTCGGGGGTTCGTCACACTGTGGCCCCTGGCCAGGCAGGGACAGGGACACCGCCCACTGAGCTCTGGTAAATTCCAGACTATGCCAAGTTCTCGAAGTCTTCCCATGCTGGGCATTTGTAGAGTTAGGGTCAGAGAGGTCAGGTCCCAAAGGACCCACCAGAGCCTTTTTACACAAGGATTGTTTCCAAACTTTTTTCCCTTTAGCAGTGAACAGTTCTCCAAAGCAACATTTGATATAAAACATCAGCATTTTAGACAGATGAAAATAGGGGTACATGGTGGAAGTGCCCAGTTAACCTGGCATATTCCAACCCCTCCCCCACTACCTGGCTCTGAGCTTCCTCTAGGATCTGCCTTTCCTCCCTTACCCACCTATTCCCGCTCTGCACCCCCTTCCGGGCTCTGCCCGCCCTGCCCTCCCTCCGGGCCCTCTTGGACTACCAGGGGCTCGCTCTTCA